GCGAACGACTTCCAAAATGGAAATGACCTGCGTATAAAGATTCGGACAATAGTGAAGAATTCAGTAAATTTAATCAACCTCTGATCAAAATAGTAAATATTTTATGCGACCGGATGTAAAGCATTCCTCAGCACGTCATAGACGAAACAATATTATCAGTTGTCATTACCAAACGATCAATATAACTGGTTGTCTGACGATTCGGCGAATAATTTCACGGTACAGTTTATCATCTGACTAACGCCTGTTAGGAATTAACAATGAAAGAGCGCAGCTGGAACACCGTTATCTTTGAAATACCCATCTTAGCTTAGCAAATTATTATTTATCTAGTTTGAAGTAGATTGAACTTCAAAACTATGCAATTCTTGGACTGAAGTAATTCGTCGAGCTGAACTAATTATCAGACCATTCCTCACATTCCGATGGTCAGTCAGTTTGTCTAAGATCCCAGATAATCTTCTCATCGACGATAACTCCGTGGTTCCCTATTTATATGTGAATAATAAAATTGTCGATAGTAAAAAGGGCAGTTTTTTAGTCATTGTTTGAGTTTGAGTCATTATTTCTGTTCTTTAAGAGGCTCATCACTGGGTGAGACCTCATCAGAAGTTATCTATTTTTCGAGAAATCGTGATTGGAAAAAAAGTACAGGTTTTTCTTAATGCCTCATTATTTCTTTTTTTTAAAGGCTCACATGAGTCCTTAACACATGTTTATATATATATTAAAAAAATATATATCAACAAATTAATAAGTATAATGGATAAATTTACCCGCAGAGTCCATGGTTTTTTAATGATTATAGTATGAAACATGTATTTTAAATTAGTTTGACCCTCGTCAGTAGTGACATCAACTGGACCCTCTTGTATGACAGGAATTCATTTTTACTTAAGCAAATTAAATAATATTTTAACATTAAAGGAACAATGCTTTGCTTTATTTCACGAAAGGAAGTGTCTCTGGGATCGCCACTGTTGCATACATATATCAAAAGTATGGCAGACAAACAGAGTCTTAGGCCATAATGAAATACAACCCCACCTAAGAGTAATCCAACATAAAATCATAAAAAAGGTCAAAATAATTGAGATGGAGTTGATGATGGGTATTGGTCTGCGAGGCAGTGAACTAATGCTGAACTGGCATCTGGTCACTTATTGGGTAATTCTGCATTCACGGGTGGGTTGAAGTAATTCAAACTAGTTTCGGCATTGCGCCATCTTCAGTGAGGAACAGCCATTTTGCCCAAGTAGAACTGATTTGTTCCTCACTGAACATAGCGCTATGTCGAAACGCGTTTGATTAACTGGAAAATGCGCGAGACCCAATAAGTGACCCAGTGTCAATTCAACATGAGTTCACCGACTCGCAGGCCCAGCATCATACCTCATAAACGGTTCAGCCGTTGTACTTACTCTGTAGTCGCAGCTGCTTTCGAGTACAAGAAAAAATGACAAATGTATTGGTACCCATGATCTGGGGCGGTAGTATAGAAACTTACGCTTACACTGCTGACTAGTGTTACGCTATTTTGGACACCTTTATTAAAAACGACATAGTTTGTCTAGAAACCTAGTTTACATCAAAATGGACAGAACCAAACTGAAGCTTTTTTTTTTACCATTTTCGAAGGCTCTTTTGAGGTTTCCAATTACATACAAGTCCTATTCAGACAAAGTTCCTCACTGAAGATGGCACAATGCCGAAACTCGTTTGATAACCTCAACAAATCCGCGAGTTATGCCAGGCCCAATACGTTACCCTATGCCGGTTCATCATGAGTTCGCCGACTCGTAGACCAACGGACCAGCATCAACTCTAACGATGTTGCGCTTTGCGGGGTTTGGAAAGAAAGATATCTTATTTTTTTAACGCTAACAAAACAGGCCCTTGACATATATGAGTATTTCGAGACACATACCCTACCTATTACTCGACTATATACCTTAACGTGGCATATTAACTATTACGCGTATTTTATAGAAAAAGTTACTTTAAAAGTCAAATTCTGTGGTCTTCGTGAACTGGAGATAAGTAAGGCCTCGAGAAAGTAACTTCGGAATATGAATATTGAACTAATAATAATGTACTTCATAATGGATTATTATTACAATGTTTTATTATAACGTCATATGATCTTCACAAGTATAAATAACTATCATATTTGAAATGAAAAAAACCATAGGTAAATATATTATTATACTCCTTTAAATCTTCTCCATTTTCAACCACCCTGCGGGACTGATTAATATTTATAGTTGATGAGTTTTAACCTTTAATTAGTTAATAATTTGATGGATTGCCCGTCAGAGGGCGGCGTAAATGGGAAGATCGAGGTTTATCGGGTATCTTGTAAGTAACCTCGTCCTAAACCAAAATATTCAAATTTAGTTTAGAAATACGAACTAAAAGGGTTTGGAAGTTTCACTTTCCTCTACCCGACATTTCACCCCAAGAAGGATCTTTGTTCATGTCAAGAAATAAAACAAATCATGAAAATCTAACTGGTCTTCTGTGCCATCCTTGTCACTTGTGGGAAAACGTTTATCTTATCTACAAAAAACTTAAATAAACAAGCCGTTATTGTTGTGTGGAATATTGTATCCCTCTTGACATGTTTATGGTCACGGCTGAATGCACTCCCTTAGGCTTAATTCGACTGGGGTGGCCGCAGATGAGAAAACCGGGAAAGAGAGGGGCGATAGAAATTTATCGTCCCTTAATTCATTCCTTTTCAGTCAGTCGGCCAATAAAATTCGTTATGTTTAATTCATTAAACAATTTCACTTTATTTTCTGTTTGACCACGTGTCTCTCCTTATTTATCGCTGTTTACATATATAAATCAAGAAAATAACGCATGGATGGTAGAAAGGGACGGATACAATGATGAACAGCTCACTGATTCACTCTGCGATTGTTGAACAGACGAACGATGTTGGCCGATTTAAAGTTGTAATGACCAGTAATAATACTAGGTTTTCCGAGACATTCCGCCATATTGCCCCTTATGGTCTTTTTCTTCAAAGTGGCAAGTTTTACGAATCCAAACTTTTTTTATTGGAGACGGTCAAATTTACAATAAACTTGCTTTCTCAAATTGTTTACCCCTTTATGGCGTAATGTTGTCTAGAGCAAGACGACTTTAGCAATTTTGTTAAAAGTTAGCGGGGAATCCCTTGAGTTTAGATATGCGCCAAATAAATCAGTGTTGCCAACACACGGGCAGAAAGAGAACAGGAACAACACTGCGCCAGCCCTAAACTCGAGGGATTTCCCTGCTAACCTTAAACAAAATTGCTAAAGTTGGGATTGTTCTAAAGCAACTTTGGGTAATAAAGAGTTAAATTATAAACAGATATGAAAATTTTATGTTTATCGATACAAAATAGTGGTGGGGTGAAGAGCTATGCTGTGGAAATAGCATTCCAAGCCGTAGATTTTAAATTGGTCCCAAATAAATCAGCGTTGCCAACACACGGGCAGAAAGAGAGTAGAACAACACGGCACCAGTCCTAAACTCACAAGATTTCCTACTAACCTTAAACAAAATTGCTAAAGTTCGCTTGACCAGAAGTAACTTTGGGCCACAAAGGAAGGGTTAAATTGTAAACTGTATATATAAAAATCGATAAATGATGCAGTGATTCCAGCTAGGAGATTCTAAAATGGAGATTTTAGATGGGCGCCAAAAAATCAAATGGGATGAAACATTAAAGAAAAAACACTGCATCCGTCCTAAACTCATGAGATTAGCTACGCTTTAGCAATTGTGCTAAATTTGGGGTTGCACTGAGACAACGTTGGGAAAAAAAGTTTAAAATATTAATTTATGACATATTCTACTGAAATTATCCTTAAAATTTTATTCAATACTGAAAACCAGAGATAAAGATACTTTTTATGTCGCTATGGAGCCAAAATGAAATGAATCTCTGTTACATGTTCTCTAGCTTTCGGTTTATGGGCCACAAGGCGATGGCACTATTCAAATCGAAGGGTTGTGTAATTCTAACGACGACAATGGGTGAGAGCACTTTCACTGGAATTCTGTTTGGAATCCGACGTCATTCCGGTCATCCTCCACCCGCACGACGGTTTATCGTTATAGCACCCTAAATAAAATGACAGGACAAAATCTTGCTTTTAAAAACTCTCCCATACTAAATTTTTATGGGGGTCAAAGTTTGAAAACCCCACAAAAATGTCTTTGTGGGTGTGAATTGGACATTTTCTAATAGACACTGTACGAAGCGACCAACCCGTGTAACTAAAATCTAAAGAATTCGTTGTAACTGTGGGATTGGAAGGTGTGTGACGAAACCCCGTGCCACGTTGGTGGGCTCTATCGATAATGAATAGGAAATAATGGGTATACTAAATTAGTAAGCTTTTATAATGTAAAACGTTCGCCTATATTAATATTCTTGGCATAAAACGATATAAATTCAAAGAGAACCACAGAAACACAATGACGTTTAACATTCCTTCGAGCAGACCCTTTGTGCGAGATAGAGGGTGAGAAAATTAAATTTATCTGACATTTACAGGAATGGGATGATCCCAATTGTTCCCCTACAAAAATGCTACAATACTAAATGTTTTGTATGTTTTATAAATTAATTTACCGTTGGCATGATTTGACCCGGGGGTAAATAAAATTGCTCTTGTCAGGCTTGCGATTTGCTCCGAGATATTGTTTTAGGCCACACATGTTTCTAATTGAATTGGGGGTTTTTGATATCGAGACAGTGGAAAATCAGGTTAACAAATATTCTGCATCTCTGGCTGTCACGAAGCCGTATATAATTAAGTTCTCTCGTAGCGCGGAATATGTGATAACCTTTAAGCCCTGTAAGCCCCTTAGGGCTTCTGCTTTCCCTCACAACCTCAGAGCTTAACCTCACTTTCTTTTCTTTTTCCGCGGCTCCGGTATTTTTCATGGTTATTGTTCCATCGTGACGTCATTGAGCTTATCTTTGTTTTTCGTTCCAGGTGACTCCGAGCGAGAAAAGCCATAGCCACTCGAGGGACCATAGCAGCGAGGCGACGAATGCCGAGGATGGGGCCGGCACCGCTTGGGCCGACGAGTCGGATCGGGACGAGGCCAATTGTGAATTCAGCAGGAAGACACTGTCCAAATCGAAACGGGTCAAAAGTTATATCCAGAAGAAGTGCAAGCACGTCGAGGTCAAAGTCAGATCCAGATCGAAATCGGGCTCCAGGTCGAACGCGTCAACCTCTTGGTACATAAACCAGGAGACGCCGGAAGAAGTTCAAGACGACTCCCGGACGGAAGGAGGCACGGCTGTCAAGGTGAGCAAAGAACCGGACAAAAGTGATGACGTCGAAGAAAGCAAAAATTTAACCGGCAATAAAGATCTGGACAATAAAGAAGACGACTCGGACACCGCCTCAGAGGGGACCCTCCTGGACGAAACTCAATCCGAAGTCCTTCCCCTCCCTCTGCAGGTAACTAATTTTATCCATTTACTGCTTTTTTATATTTCATTTTGTACATATTTTACAACGTCACACTCGTTTAAGTCGACTTTTTTAAAATTCTCATTTGGAGTCGATGGGTCTCTTTAATACATCAACTTTCATCTATTGTGATTGATTTCAATGAAATGTAGAATTCAAGAGTATGATATCTAAGGCCTTTTTAGCATAGTAATGCCTTTCCTAGGTACCACACAAATTTCTCAGCTATTGCAGGGCAGTTACATATGATATGTTCCGTTGTCTTTGTCTCTTCTATATATAATCGTCATCTTTTGATAGTCTAATTTATTTAAGGTTGTAATTTACTTAAGCATATCTGTAAATAAACCAGTTTTTAATTCCTTTCTGTTAACAAGGAGTTCCTCTTTAGGTAGTTTTTGTGAGTAGTTGAGTTTCTTGTCTTATGCTTGGAATACTCTTTTGTATTTGTTATCTGCTTTAGTTACCCAAGATTCCAGTTCTTCTGTATTGGGGATGTAGTGCCTTAAAATGGATTTCGGACTATGAGTTGTTCTCTGGCTCCCTTTTTAGTTAGTAAGTCTGCTCTCCCGTTGTCTGAAATTCCCTCATGACCTGCGATCCACCTATTATTATTCCAGATACGTTTTGAGTTGATCTAGGGTTGCAGCGCGTTAGAATGGTTAGGGATGGAAATAATATAATATAATATAAATAATATATAATAATAATAAAATAAAATNATTTTTACCGTCAGAGTGCTATATAATAATAAAATAAATAAATAAATAATATATAATAATATAAATAATACAATAATAGAATAAAAGTTTGCACCTTTGAGATGTGTTTTAGTTCATGTGCACATGCGTCTAGGTGCTTGAAATACAGTTGTGGTAGATCTCAGCCATTGTTTTCACTTAGGGAAGAGTGACAGTTTTTTTCTTTATTTATTATTACATCTGCGTCTCCCTGGGCATTCGGGCGAGAAGCAACGAAAAGGTTGACATGTTGGCCAAAGGGGGGACCAACATGGACTCTTTGGGTCACACAAGACAAGACCTGCCATAAAATAGGATACATCTTAAAATGGATCCTTAATGAGTCCAAAACTTAGTGGAACAATACCACAGGTAAGAGGCACTGGAAGAGATACATATCTATAGATATATACAAAAAGGACCATTCGCAAAACTGACAAAACGGGAAGGCAACCGCAACCGACCCAGGATTCTGGTAGGACTACTGACAGGACATTGCCACGTAAGAAAGCACATGAACCGGAGTACATAGGTACAGACAGAAGAAACGTTGTACAGATACTGCCAGGAAGAGGAGAAGAGCGTAGAACATATTTTATGTTTGGCCACAAGATCCTTACATCTGCATCAATTCTTGCGCTTAAATTGAGACAAGAAAGTATTAATGTCGATTTGATAACTGTAATCTTCCACTGACACCAAATCAAAATTAAGTAGAATTAAAAAAAAAACTGAATGAAATGTAATCATAACAGAATATATCATGAGTTGAGATAGTTTGTAATTTTGTAATTTATAGCGGCTACCTCGATGAACGTCAATTCAATTAGGTCCGAGTTAACTGCGAATCGTCTGTGGAAATGATGATTTAATTTTGAAAACTTAATTTTCCGTACAACGCCGTAACGTGAGTTGATAATTTTCGTACTACGTTGGATATTATTAATTGTTAAATTATTCATAGTAAGTATAGAAAAAGAGGATTACAGACCGAAAGGGTCCTTATGACGGGTAGGATTTCAGATCCGTTTCAGGATGACTGGTGTTAAAGTATTGATGGCTATCTAGAACCGATGTGAACAAGTTGTACCATTGTTAGATATCTCGAGATAGCTCTATTGAAGAAAGAGTAGGACCGAAGAGGGACATTGAGTTATTTGCCTTCTCCACTCACCAATAAGGGAAAGTTGTCTAGGAGAGAATAGGTTTGACTGGAGACGGCGCGGCGGCACGGTCTCACTAATGAAAATCCGGAGAATCGTATTCCTAGTGGGCTGTTATTAGCCCGATTGGAAATAAAGATAATACGCTTGGAGCAGGGGCAGAGAAACCAAATTGTTTTTTAAATTTATCGACGGCTATTTTTAATGAATTTAAAGCCCTCGAAAATTAGTTTTAAGAGAGCAGAATTTGCTGCTCCTCATTTTGGAACTCCAGTCAAACAGTCAGCATTTCGTAAATCCATGTAACACGATCAACTTGCAATTTTCTAGGCATTTTCTTATAATACTTAAGATTAAATTCAAACTGTACACAGGGTGTTCTTTTTAGATGGCCCGGCTGAATCTCCTTTGAAACAATGACGCTATAAAAAAGCAAAAATGCATGTTTAATATTTTTTATCTATTTTCAAATTTTTACCCTTTTTTGAGAAAAAATAGACATGGTTCCTCAGGCCCAGTTCAATTTCAAAATTTCAAATACGACCCTATACATCCTGACACATTTTAAATGATTATTTACATTGAAAACAATGGTGCAATCGGATTTTAAATTGATAAAAAAAAAACAAATTTATGGCAAAAAGTTTAAAAAAAACCAGTGATTAGGGACCGTTAGTCATGATTAATCGGAAATCGTGAGATGCGGTCTGGTGTGATGTAGGTTTCAGAAAAACATTTTTTTTTATCGTGCCAACGTTTCGATCTTTATTGAGATCATCTTCATTTGGATGTGACTATACCGACTTCCTTCCCACCCCTTCAAAATCCAGCGTATATGAACATAAAACAGCAATATTTCACTGGCACTCTCATCACGACACGCAAGAATGGCACACTTACGCAGAAAACAAACACTTTGAGTGAGTAGAAATACATTGATTGAATATAAAAAATATATTTTTGCATCGTATAAATTCACTTTTTTCCACATCTTACGTGTATTTGTTAAATTTAAACAATGTTTGTAAATCCCAGGCCCTGAAGATGATCTCAATAAAGATCGAAACATTGGCACGATAAAGAAAATGTTTTTCTGAAACCTACATCACACCAGACCACATCTCACGATTTCCGAATAATCCCTCAAACAATTGAGGAACTAAGCACCATTTAAATTATTTTCGTAGAAATAAGGCCCAGTTAATTTATTTCGGAAAAGTCCACACCAGACGTTGATACTGTTAACAACGTGATGATAACAAGAGTACGAAATTTTTGGACTTTCCTCTGCCTACATTCAAAAATTCCAACAGCCATTAGACGTGAACATGGATTCATCAGTCCATAGGATGTATGGAAGAACATTTTCTTCTGCCTCCCAAATCGTGCAAGGAACAATAGACGTATGTCATAATCAAAGTCCCGAAGTCCCTGGACAAGATGAGAGCGGTACGGCTTAAGATTGTAAGTCCGGAGTACATCTCTAATTATATTTTTTGAAAAACCTAAAATCCTTCCAACATTTCGGAGAGAGGAATTCGGATTTTCGCGAACATACAGTAAAATATTCAGCTCATCGTCGAAATTACGCTGCCGGCTTCTTGGTGATGGAACAGCAACAGATCCGTATCTCCTCATACTGCTAGCATCACGAATAAACGTTTTGTGGTTCATTCTGGTGCGAGCAGGAAATTGCTGGGAGTACAACTCGACTGCACGACGCTCAATAAAGCAGTTGTAAATACTCTACACGCTGTTGACCGAAAAAAAATGTGAAAAATGTGCTCTCCGGTTTATTTTAAATGGCATATTGAATGTAACGTATAGATACAATTGCAAAACCTATTTACTTCCAGGAATGAAGATTTGCTCTCATAATGCGAGTTTGATAAACAAAGCAGAACGTACACAATAAAGGGAATTAATGTTTACTTTAGTGAAGAAGCAAATCATTGGAATTAATATCGAAACGAACGAAATTCGTTTTATCAAACTTTTTACCATAACATTGTCATTTTTTGACCAATTTAAAATCTGATTACACCAGTGTTTTCAGCGTAAATAATCCTTTAAAACGATGAATACGATGTATAGGGTCGTATTTGAAATTTTGAAGTTGAACTCGTCCTGAGGTGCCCTGTATAATTTTTCTCTAAAAAGGTACAAATTTGAAACGAGACTAAAAAAGATACGTATTTCTGTTTTTTTGATAGCGTCATTGCTTCAAGGGTAATTTAGCCGGACCAACTAAAAAGGACACCCTGTAAAGATACAGGTAAGCTCAAAGTCTCGAACGCTAGTTCCAGGTTGTTTGTGGAAAGAACAGATCCGTATAAAAGAAATAACAAATAATGGCATTATAAATTTATTTTTCTGTGTTTCATTGTGCCAAGAAAATTGGTGAAAACCCGTCGCCATTTTTATAGGCTAACAAATTGAAAACAGGAAGATTGCTCCAGATTACCCGTGGGAAATTTAAAAAAAATTCCCCAAAATGAATAGTTTAAGAGCTAGTCTTATGATGAATACATTAGATAGTTGAACAAGATAGTTCACAATAAAATGCTGAATATCTCGAAAAGGGTTGAGAATGCCAGAATGGGACCATAGTTCATGTACTTTTTTTGTTGCATTTGAGGCATATTAATTATTATATCAATTTTAATTAGAGCAAATATTGATTAGGCAATTATTCTAAGCTTGGAATTTAGTTAATTGCCTTGCAATTTAATCCACCACTTTCTTTCATGCGGGCATCTATTTAGTAAGTCACTTTTGTCTGATTTCTTATTATTTATTAACATTTTCAATCATATCGTAACATGCCAGTTGTGCTTCGTTTATTAAACATATTTTTACAAGGGCATGAAAAATAAAGTATGTACTTTTCTATGCGGGTTTAATTCGTTTGTTTAAGTCAGGTCGTAAAACATCAACATTCTTTCTAAAATAAAAAAATAAAATTGTACATTAGACACGGTGTCCCATGAACTGACATCAATACTTCACGATGTTATCCGACATGCCAGAATGGACTAAGAAGCCCCTATTGTCCAGAGTATGATTCTCAATTGTATTCGAGGTA